CTTCTGCAAAGTAAACACCCAGTCTTTACCGGTTTTTGGCTATTTTTGCTTTTTTGTTTGAATCAAAAGCTGGGCAAAACTGAAAGCTGAGAAAATCCTTCTCTTTGAATGTAAAGAGAAGTTTATGGCTTGTTGGCTTGTTGCCTTAAGTAATTTATTGCCTTGTGTAAAGCTAATGGGTGCCTGCAAACACTAGAGAAGAGGGAGAACAAAAACATTCCCAGCCAGCAAGCAGAAATAAATAGCAGATTTTTTATACCAGTTTGAAACAAGTAGCGTACCTGTATAAAGAAAGACGGCATCAAGACTGCTTTAAAAATGAACATGCAAATTCAGCCTAAAGCTCCCAGTGCCTGTGCTGAAGCCAAGCAGTTATACCACTTTGAAACAAGTAGCATACCTGTATGAAGAAAGACGGCGTCCCAGTGCCTGTGCTGAAGCCAAGCTCCCACTGCCTGTGCTGAAGCCAAGCGGTACTGGCTGAGATTACTGGCAAGAAGGCTAGGTTCCCCTATGCTCCTACCCCAAGCGCTTTAGCTTTTTCCCGGTGAAGGTGCTCCATCTCCACCCCAGTCATTTATGAGGGTTGTTTTTGAATGTTTCACAGTTATGATGCACTGTGGATCTATAGAAGGACAATACAGTATTGGCTATTTTATTTTCAGGCCTCTTTCAAGTAATTTCTGTTTAGAATTTGGCTTTTTCATTGGTCTTCTGCAGTAAGTCAACATTTTCATTGAGCTACTCACCACAAGCCCAAGATTGCTGTTCAGTCACCATCAGTTTATATTTACTTAGGATTTTTTTAACCTCACACTACATTTACTCTGGGTTTCATTTGACAAGTTACCACCCCCACCCAGTTGTGAAAAATATTGGGCCTCTTCACACTTCATTTTGCTTTCACCATTCTGAGTAATTTGGTGTCATTTGCAAACTTGGCTAGTTCACTACTAAGATCCTGATTGTTTATGAATATCAGTAACCCACCATTTACTTCCCTACATTATGAAATATGTCCCTTTTCTGCTTCCGGTTAACTTAATTACTGATTGATGCACAAGAGGTCCCATCTTCTTATCTCAAGACGGTTTACTGAGGAGCAGGCCTTTGTCAAAAGTTTTTTTGAAAATCCAAGTATATAATGTCTGCCAGCTCACCCTTATCCATTTGCTTGTTAACACTTTCAATGAACTCCAAAGGGTGGGCTTCTTTTTGTAGAAGCCATGCCAGTTCTTCATCATTAAGGCTTGTTTCCCCTAATTTACCCAGAACAGCCAGCAGATTAACTGGTGTGCAGTTTCCTGGATTTCTTCTCCCTCCCCACTCTCTTTTTAGAAGTTGGTATTGTGTGTGTTACTTTCCAGGGAGGCATATTTAAATGACATTGCATATGATTTTCAAACTATTTTCTATTAAAGTTCCTTAAGAATCCTCAGGTGGATACCAGCCATTCATGGTGTTAATTTTCAGTTTGTCAGTTAGTCTTAGAAGCTTATCTTGTCTTCTATATTCTGTGCACTGACTTTCTTTGTACATACAACTGAGTAACTCTTGCATTACATTCAGCATATGGACAGCTGAATATGCTATTTAAACTGCACATTTATTCAAATACCGGTCCCCCATTTTATTTTCATTGTTCTTTCTTAAATCAGCTCCATATACATTCACTATAATCATTTACACCCCACCTTTCCATTCCCATTTTATCCTGACTGGCCCAAAGTCACTAAGCAAGCTTCCATGGCACAGTGGGGATTCAAGTCTGGCTCTCCCAGATCCTAGACCAGGGGTGGCCAAACTTGCTTAATGTAACAGCCACACAAAATAAACATCCGATGTTTGAGAGCCGCAAGACATGAACAAATATTACACAAATGTTTTTATTGGAAAATATGCAAATTTGCTTTTTATTAACATTAGACTGTGTGAAATAACCGCATGTGGCTTTTGAGCTGCAGTTTAGCCACCCCTGTCCTAGACCAACTCTAAGCACTACACCACACTGGCTAAGTAATATGCTCCAAAAATTCTCACACTTTGCATTAGCTGCCATATAAAGAACAATCTTAAACAGGCTAAATAGGTTGGCTCGTTACTTATGGGGCTTACTCAGAAAAGTGTCCTTAGCGCTATAGCCTTATTATGCCAGAGCCTGTGTTCTTTCTTATTTTCCTTGTATGGGCAGGATTTTCACAAAGGAAGTCTTCTTGCCTTTTATAGCTTTTTTGGCATCCTCTTAGTTTTCAATACCACCTATCTAAGCTTCAGTTATTATGACAGATGGAAAGTATCTATAGTAGCAGCAAGATTACCTATTGCAAATACTGGATATGATGATGCCAGCAACAGCAATATAAGCATTGGTATAGTATGATCAAGAGGAGGGAGGTTATATACTCAGGCTTTCTGAAAAGGTGGAGGCCTTTTATTAATCACTAGAGTATGTTAAAATTAGGGAAAAAAAGTTGAGATATTATATTTCTATGTCTTCGTGTTATAAAGAATGATATTTGAGTCCAGTGGCACCTTTAAGACCAACAAAGTTTTATTCACAGTATAAGCTTTCATGTTAGACTTAATTAGACATTAGAATATGTTGTATGACTTTGTTGTAATGTTTTTGTTGTATGATTTAGATTTTGTAATAGTAATACATTGTGTATTGAAATATCTTCCATGTATCCTGTAAAGATTTGAACCTTTTAGCGTCCTTCTGATTAGTCCCCTCATTGTTTTTAGTTCAGTCATCTTTCATTATAAAACCTGAATGCAATCAGAATCTCTGTCCTTTCCCCTCACACTAGTTCACTAGTTACAGCACCAAAAGACAGAAAAACCTGGACAGTGTGGTGAAAATATTTATTGCGATATTTTTAAAACACACACACACAATCACAAAAAACAACTTCACACAAAAGTAAGACTGATTTCTAAAAGGTACACATTAGACTTCATCTAGTTATCACAAAAAACAACTTCACACAAAAGTAACAGACTGATTTCTAAAAGGTACACAGAACAAGTACCAGAACAAGTGATTCAGTGCTACAGCATAGATGAATACCCTCTCAGTTTAAGAGAAAAATTGCTTGGGAGGACACAAGCAGCAGATTTGTGCACATAAATTCTGATTTAGAAGAGATACCACCAAACAGCCCACATGGATTCCCGGTGGAAGTCTTTATGAAGGATATGTTGTAGCCAAAGGCTGAACATGACAGTCTGTGCTTTTCCTCTCAGTCGCAATTCCCAAACTTCAGTACTACTACAAAGATCTCTTACAGCCCAGTTCTATGCATCCATATTCAGAAGTAGCTCCTGTTATGAAGCTTTCCTCCCTGGGCCTAGATTCAGCCCTCAGTTGCCATCCCAGTGTCAAGCCCCCAATATCATTAAACTTGAAATAGAACTACTAAGGCAATATCTGAATGGAGATACCAGCTAGTGTTTAAAAAGTAGGAGATAAACCTGTAGTTACACAGAAGTTCTCTTCAGACACAAGTGTTCATAGCAAAAACTCCAACTGTAATGGTGTTCCCAGTTAAAAACCTACTTTTGTTTCCAAGACCACTCAACATCATTTATTTTTTAATAGAACTATTCTGGAAAAAGTATGGTGCAACTCAAAAGCCCACTTCCTGCACTTTGAACATTAATTGACCCAAAACATCTGATCACTTACCTACTACATGTTGGTTTGTTAAACACTGCCCTAAACCTGTAGCAGTTCAGCACATTCCTACAGCTCAGCCTTATCCATATTTATTGAGAAGCCAGCTCCAAGTTCAGTGAAGGATTGCATCTTTAAAATATTGGTGTATATCTTAACTTGAGATCATGCCAAGTTAATGGATTATTAGTTGAGCTGTTTCTTTGAATATTGTCATTGTTAAAGAAAATAACCTCCTTGATCCATAAGAAATGATAATCACATATTTTACAGATATCTTCAACACTATGCACTTGGTTATCTACTTCACTTTTCTTCAAGAGAACCAGTAAACTTCACCATGCTGAGTCTCTTCCAGACAGTTCGCTTGGCGTAAGTTACTTTTATTCACAGGGCAGGGGGCCAGCATAGCACAGAATAAGTAAAGAAGGGCCACTCAAATGCACAGTGTGCTTGAAGGTCAGAAAGACTGGCCCACTGATCTCCCAAAAGATCAACAGATGATGCAGGACAAATGAACTCTTAAATTTCATGGATTTGGATCTTGGTGCTGGGACAAAACACTGTATGATGACACTGTGAAACAAAACATATAGGAAAGTGTCAGGGGATGAGCTGGAACCTCAGTAGATCCTTCCCTCTGGGCCTTTCTTACTTAGGGAACCATGCCTTTCAAGAGTACCAAGCTTGCTGCCTTGCTTTACCTCACCTGTCTGTAGTATTACAGCATCCTGCAGCTGACCTCCAGAGGATGCTGTTACCCAACGGGTGCTTTCAGAATATAAAGTGATCATAAAATGTATTTGTCCTATCTTTCAACAGAACATTAATGGAGCAATTGACCTGGTGCATCCATATGTAAAGGTGATGCTATCTGAACAATATGCTTGCCAAGTGGTTCAGAATTTGTGTAAGTTTAAATGAAGGCTGCATCCAGTCTTTCAAAATCCTTTTCAAAGAATGTCATTGCATCTTCAGACCAAACACAGAACAGACTGAGAATGTCAAGATGGAGGAATGCCTTTTGTGATCAGGTTTTGATTCATGGAACATCTTGAATGTTTATCACTGAGTTAAGGGTACTAGAAGTACCAAAGCAATTCACTTGGTCAAGCATTGTTCCTGCACTGTGTGAGCATACAGGATTTCCTTACTTTAACTTAAAGATGCAACTTAGCAAGCAATCCTTCAAAAGTTACTTCCTCAAGATATCTGCTGTGTTTGCTTCTTGTGATCTTACCAAACTGATACAATCAGCAGCATCAAGAAGCTGCACCCAACTGATAACTGCCTCAATTAAAGGGCCTTCAGCTGAAGAGGTTCAGGCAAAGTGTAAGTACACTGATTTTGTGTGCAGTCTGATTAGCTACATTTATGTTTGTTATAGTTTTAGGGCCTGTAAGTCAGGTAGCAGGAATATGAGCTGAAGACAGAAGACCTTTCTGGAAAGTGCATTCTGTTACGCACAGCAGCTTTGATTCTCCTAAGTAGCCTGAATACAATAGTACAATCAGTTAGTGCCAATTTACCTCTCTAGCATGCTTTTCTAGCACAACAGAGAAAGATGCAATTGCAGAAACCTTGCCAAATGGCATGATTAACTCTGCTTGGGTTGTCTCTATAAAGCACATACATGTATTGAATATGATTTCTCCACTTACTTCAGAGGAGGGGGAGGTTGTACGAAGAAGGGAAAGAAGCAAATTAAGTAAGGGCAAACAACATTAGGCTACACGTTGGGGGTCAGATATGACTAGGCTTTGTATCCAGAAACTGCTACACATTTTTCTCTATAATTCAATCCTGTTAATTCTGTACAGTACCTAATGAACATGGCTGAGGTAATGTTTCTTCACCTACATCATACACAACGTCAGCGTGGTTGAATTCTGCAATCACATTAAAATTGGCTTCAAACTACTGTTCCCACATACGTCTGAATCAAAGTCAAGTTTCTCCAGCTACCTGAAAGTGCTTTTCTGTCCCATTTTCAACAACGTAAAGGTAAAGCCAAACAAATTATTTTGTTCAATTTTACAAAAAAGTTTTGAACTTTCTAAGATGCTCTTGCATAATTCCTTAGGCTCAAAACAATAGACTACCAAGGATTTGGGTGTTATGATCTAAGAAATGTGCAGAAATCTGTTGCTCTCACATCCTCACAGGATAGAAAGAGAGCAGAACAGGGTCCTGAGTACTCCACTCCCATATAGGATGCTTCAGCTTCTTGAAGGAAGGAATGCCTGCGCGGCAGTTTGTCACTAGATGCAGTCATGAGCTATACTCAAGGGAATGTCCTGTATATTCAATTCCCCTTAAACTAATATGTGGGCAACTTATGCTTGCCACAAAAAAAGGTAAATTTAAAACTGATTAATGGGAAGAGGCTTGAAACCAGTTTGTCATCAGGCAGCCTACAGAAAGGAAAGAATGCAAGGGCGCAATTGAAACCTATTGCAAGTTTCTACTGGCTGCACTTTAGGATGATTTTAATTTCTAATCCTATTCCAAAATCCAATCCTATTTCCCAGTGGAGGAGACTGCAATCAAGACATGTGGCCCAGCTTCAGCAGCAGTTACCTTGCTCTAGTATACTACTAGCTGATGCTGTGGGCGAAAGAAAAATGACAGACTCATCTTGACGAGGGGAGCTGTCCATATTACTCAGGCTTAACAGACTGATCTACACAGGCTCTTTCTTTTACAGTCCTCTCTTCAGGCAGACTCCCAAGCAAAGCAAACATCCATCTTTGTAGCATGCAAGGCTGAAGGTGTGTTGAAAACAGGCATCTATACAGCAGGCTTTTGCACTTTCCATGAAATGTGGTAAATCAAGAGATGATGCTTTATAAAGGAAATGCTTCAAACAATATGGTATATATCACAGGAAGGAGAGCACATTCAGTTTTAAAAAGCTGTCCAGGGGCTGCACAGTAGAGAGAAGCAGTTGTGGAACAGGCCTTTGTATGGGAAAAATAGAATACACAGACTACGATCAAAGACTTAAGTATCCATTTGTAAGATTACTGATATGCCTGCCTGACACAGCCAAACTTTGCCACTTGCATGCCCTTCTTTTCCTGGCTACTGACTTGAAATAGGTCATGTCTCACCCTTCCTCCAGTCTCAGAAGGAAAAACAAAAACAGGAGCAGCTACTCCTACCAGTGTCTCTTCTTTGAAGATAGCAAGAATCAATGCTCTCTTTCAATATTTGAAATATTTAGGTTTTTGCTCCCTAAGCCTTTCTTCCCCATTAAAAAGAAGTTAATTGAAACCAACTGACTCTTGCAAACCCATTTGCTTTGCCAGCAGAGTACAACAGGACACAAGGGTATTACCAGGCATCTCTGAAGGTAAATTCTTTGGTTTGATATCTTCCCTTGCTAAATCTGCACAGCAAAAGACAGGTATATTCACATCAAAAGCATCCCCCAGGAAGGGTACTATGAGCATTAGCTACAATCATGCTAAGAGATAAGCATATACATTCAACACACTTTACAAAAAGCAAATGCTTTTTAAAAAAGCATAATCACATTTGAACCTGAAATCTTCATAAATACATTTACCAATCCTCTGCTAAAGAAACATGTTTTGCCCAGTAGGCACAGTATTTGTTAGCTTTCAGAAGGACCCTTCTCATTTAACTACAAACGAGGGAGGTTTATCCTCCTACTCCTACGATTGCCCTGCCTAGTTCACAGCCCAGCAACTGGGAAACAGTTTTCTAGCTGAGATACAAGAAGCTCAGCTTTTAATTGTATGTCTCCTCTTTAGATTTTTGCCTCTGTCTCTTCTTCCCTCCCAGCTCATCCTAGTTATGGTAGAGAACCCTCCACTACTCAGGCCCAGAGATCCTAACCTGGTACTTGCCAAGCTAGTAGGAGCCACCACCTTCCTTCCTCCTCCCCAGTCCCCAACAGAGTGCAGAAGTGACAGAGCAGCTGGCCCAGGCCCAAGTTGGTTGGAGCTGTCTCTAGTCACTTCCTTTCCACTAGAGACTTTTCTAGGGGAGAGGAGCAACCAAGAAACAAAAAGCACCCTGCTGTCGCTACACTTAGCCCAACTCTCTGGGAACAAGGCTAAGAAGTCTTCTGATCAGAAGCGGGCAGAAAGGCATTTCATCTGCCATTGTCAAGTGGGATCAGTTTGTTCTGTATACTAGTGACATGTGAGGAAATGCTGTCCCTCACCTGCTGTCCTCACTATTTTCTACAAATTCTCCCTGCCTTTCTGGACTTTGTACTGTTAACAATTTGAAGCTGACCAGGTAATTTTTCTCCATTTGGGTATGTGTTGTTTCTCTCTGTTAGAGTTATGAGCTTCCCACTCTCCCAGTGCCTTATGGGAATAGGAAGGCAATTCCCCTACCCAGAAGGCAATTGTGAAGCAGTCCTGCCACCAAGCCAGATTGGAGGGGGCAGCCTGGAGTCTAACGAATGCTTTTCTTCCTACTATAAGAACAAGACTTTACAGTTTTGAAAAGGAAAAGGAAATATCCTTATCTAAACACTCCACCCCCCATAAAACCTGAGATTTGAATGACAAGCAATTTCACTGACATTTTCTTGAAATGCAACAGGAAGATGTGTTTGCTGTGTTGGGCACTGGACTCTGACATCTCAACAAGTGCACACGGATGGAAAGAAACAGGGTTTTTAAAAAAATGATTAAAGACCTGAGATCTGAAACTAAGTGTGACAAACATAAGGCCAGGAGATTTTATCAGACCCTTTAAGGGGCACCATATAAATTCCACACAAATTAGACAAAAGGAACCAATGCCTACAATAGAACAAGGGTTGGCATTGCATGCATCTACATCATGCTCTGTCACTGATGCTATCTTGCAAGGGCCTTCACTGGAGTGGGTGTGGGATGGTTCATATTCCTCTATGTAACAATCTTGTGACTGAGAATGCTTGTTCTTGGAATCCCAGGGCACTGTATGGGGAAAGGGGGTAAAGCATAATAACTTTTATTATATTCAAGCTATAATGATCAGAAACAGCTTTTTCTCAATTTTAGTGTAACTGATTAATTTCATGAAAATCAATTTCTCTGAATTTCATTAAAACTATAATCAAAAGGTGAAATTGATTGTTATTTGGTGTCAAATTATACTAAAAGAGGGGGTTTGGGCTAAAGGTGTGGCCTCTGGACATCAGCTTGAGGAATTTGGCACTCCAGTTCAATTGTGTTTGACACCCTTATGTTAACCTATATTGACAATTGACAAGACAATTGAAAGAAGTCCATAAGCGGTTTCGATTTTTTTTTTTGCTATTGACAATTTTCCTAACCATTTCCATAATCAGAATTATCTAGATTATGATTCTGACTTCCATATTGGCTTTGCACCCTAATTCAGAATACACACATGCTATTTAGACTCTTTTCAGTCAACCTGTAGAATCCACGTGTATAGCAGCCACTGCACACCAGCTGTGGCGTGTAGTGAACATGCTACAGATGCTAGAGAAGCATCTGTCTCTTCTTCCCTCCAGAGACTGAGATAGCAATGGCATGTGTATGTTCCAACTCACAAGATTCCCAGAGACTGAGCGAACAGCAGCGTACAGCAGCACAGCAATATCACCATTTGAGACAGAGTTCCACAGGCTGGCTTGGTCATTGTTTCCAGGGATCTATTTGCAGTTAGCACGATCGAAGATGACAGTGTTTCCTTTCCCTCCCACACCCCTCAAAAAGGCATACTTCAGTTTCAGTTTACATAAGTGCAATAGAATAGAAAGAAAAAGCAGACACCTGAATATTCAGTGACTTGTAGCTAAAATTCCAGCTTCTTGTCTGCCTAAAACAAAGCAGAGTTTCCAGTGATCAGCTGAACCACTATAGCAGTGAGGAAGAGCAGCAAGAGGTCATCTGCACATAAGCATAGAGGTGGGTGTCCGATTCAGCCATCAGGTGGTACCCGTTAAGAGACTTCAGTCTTGGCAGGCAACTTGCTCTCCTTATTTTGGTGCCTTTGGTCACACTAACTTCCAGCACCACTAACTTCTTTAACTGGTATAATAAACGTGGAAAAAGAGAATCTTGTTTCGCAGAAGGGAGTAAGAATTGTCAAATTTGAGCAAGTAAATGCCTTCCCCAGGATAATCATGGCTGCCTACTTGTACTTCCCGATGACTATCTCGACGGTAGACAGGCATGATCTCCCCATAGCGATTTCGCAAATAGCTTTTGGAGCCCCTTTCCACATCACCAACAGGAATAGGCCCTGAGAAGGGAAAAAAAACATACTATGTATCCACCTGTCAAGAAATGGTGCACTGATAACTTGGGGTCACGAGTCTAAAGGTGGCTGCATGAAAATCACATTATGCTACATACTGGACTGTGATCTTCAAATAATCTGCTGCCAATGATAGATTTGAGGTCTAACACCCCAGTCTTTCATACATTACATAAAAAACTCCTGCTCAAATTGTATAGTCTATTTTTACCAAACACGTTTAGAATTAGAACATTTGAATTACAGAGTAAATATATAAGCAACATTTCATTGTTTAATGTTTTTAAATTTGCTATTATTGTTAGCTAGAAAAATGGTAGTTTCAAGGCTACAGAATTCACTCGTTTTTCAAGATGATGCACAAGGACCATTTGTTCCAGCAGGCCAGTCAAGGGTTTTAATAATGCTGTTGAAGTTGTAGTGGTTTGTTTATAAATATATATATGTTTTTATTAAAGGTAAAAAGGTTTAACAAACATAGTAATACAACAAACTAATTTTTCTTTTGTTTTTTGTACAATGAAACATACCATTTACAAGGCATGACTCATAAAAATATAGAGTTTACATAACATAGCGAAGTGTAGAAAGCCTAACAAAGTTATCAAGGGAAACTTTATACTCTAAGATCAAAATGTATGCATTTTGGGTGAATCAAAAATTCAGTTACCAAGATGAAGAAAAGACATTATTAATATGTTGATTGACCCAACTATTTAGAAACTCACTGGGCTTCTTAGCCAGTATACATGTTGAGGCTAGAATATTCTTTTTGTTTCCACCAGGTTACACATAATTTGATCTTCAGATCCATGTCAGGAAACCCGACCAGGATGAAGGTATGTATTCTTCTTCTGATAGAAGGGTTAAGATTGGGAATCACTTTGCATTGAACTCTGTATTAGATTGGTTTTCAGGGGCATTCTTACATTTATCTGTTATACTCTCCATTACATATTGATCCCATAGTTTTCTGTACCAAATCTGGATACTCGGAGGGTCCATGTCTTTCCAAGTTGAGGCAATAGAGACCCTAGCTGCATACAGCATTGTTTCTAGCGTGCTCCTGTGGTGGTGTTGTTTAATAGGTTTGGGTCATAGTTCTAGTAATAGGCTTTCAGGATTTAGCGGTAAATCTATATCTAAGATCAGTTTTATGTGTTTTAACACTTCTAACCAGAATAGTTTAATTTTAGTACACTCCCACCAGCAATGTGCAAAAGAGCCGAGAGATCCTTTCCATCATAGAGGGGAATAGGAGGGAATAGGAATAGGAGGGAGACATATGTGATAAGGCTTGGGGAGAGAGATATCATCTCGTGATGATTTTGAGCTTTTGGACTTCCACTGGGTAAGAGCGGGGGGGAGATTTGTTCGACCTCCAAATTTCAGACCACAGCGTTTCATCTAAGTGCATTGTGCAGTCCTTCTGCCAAGATTTTTGATATGATAATGATTTTAAGTCAGTTTCTTTCAGTAGCAATTTATAAATAGCTGAAATCATGCCTTTGTTCTGTGAGTTATAGCATTTGAGGATGAGTTCAAATTCTGTGGGTGGCTTCAGCGTGACTTATCTTATTTTATATTGTTTGACTGCGTATTGAATTTGTAAATACAAGTACCATGGAATCTTGTATTTCAACACCTTTTCTAAGTCTAGTTTGGGACGGAGACCCTCCTTCTGGACTATATCACAGTAACGGAACAAGTGAACTTCTCTCCATCATTTACCTAAATCACAGTGTACAGTTTCTAAGAACCAGGGTTGAGAGGTGAAGGTGGAATATCGAGAAATCTGTGGGAGGAGTTTACATTTCATTTTTGCCCAGTATTGTAGAGAAGGGTACATGAGGTTGTTTTGTGTTATTTCAGTAGTTTTGTTAGGGAGATTGCCCCATATTAGGCTGTCTATGTTATGTGTGTTAGAGTGGTCAGCTACTAATTAGACCCATGGAGGGTTGTAGTGTTTTTTAATGTTTCTATCAATGCCCCTGAGTATGGTCCAAAGAAGTATGATGCAATTCTACTGCTGAAACTACAGCAGTGACAAATGAGTGGCTGACCAGGAACTGCACATAATCCACTCTGCATTCACAAGGAACACGCACAGCAGATGTGTGTCTAGAAAGCTGTCAGGTGTTCAGCTTCAAGAACACCAAAATTGACCTACCTGGTTCTGTTTTATTAATGTTGTTGGCTTTAGAAATTATTGACATTATGCTTTCACTTTGTAAAACTCCTCAAACATATGGGGGGAGGAATCTGAATAAACAAAAAGTGATGAAGCATTCATGGTACAAGTGAAAGATAAAAATGAAAGATCTTGAAGGGCATTCTTCATCTGGTGTCTAAAAATGTTGAAACTCATTGAGAAGTGTATGAACAAATGTGAATTACACTGAGGTTCATAGGTTCTGATACCAATCCCATTGCTTTGCCCCTTAGACAGTTGTGCACTGACCTTCAAACTCTTCTTCATCATCTTCATCTTCATCACTTGATTCACTGACTTGTACAGTAATGGCAGTACTTGTAACAGGAGTCCAATCAAAATAGACTCCAAAGCCAATATCATAATCTTCTGTGGCAAACTCCCAGCATACTCGCTTCCCATCAGGATGGGTTGGTACCCGGACAGTCACTACTTCACCCCGTTTCACTACCATGCGGGCATTCTTCTCCTTTGCCATCTTTGTTTTGAAGTCCCTTATCTTGGCACTTGTCCATGTAGTTGGTGGAATTAGAGGAGGTGGCTGAGCTAAAAGGAAACAAGACAAAATTGGATCAAATTCACACAAGCCACAAGGCTCTTCTTAGTTCTCCTACTCTTGATGTGCAAGTATGAAAAACAGAAAGGCAGTTTTAAATAATCTTGTATCAGTTGCTTCCCTGCTTTCTTACACTTTGCAATGCAATGTCATTGCAGTCTCTATTGAAGTTGTGATTAGCTGGGAAGGGGGGAATATTCTTTAACAGAATCAGGCTTTTGAGTCACGTTTCAATTGAAAAACAGAACCTTACTCACCATAAGGGCTCCTTCTGCTTTGAGATTAGGAGGGCATCCTGGAATGGGGGATTCCCACCAATCGCTTAGGGAGACAGGACTAAACTCTTCAACTTCCTGTCTCCTGGGTGGGAGTCACCCTGTCTCAGTTTGGTTACTTCAGGAGTTAATGATCCCAGGAGCAGGAAGGAACAGAACAGAGAAAAAACAACAACCACAACAGGTAAGTCACTGTTAGAAGCATAACAGATGATAATCAGAGAAGAAACATGACTGGGGGTTAAAGAAAGATTAGAGCAGCAGGCATCTTCCCCTGCAGCTTGATCCCATAGGATTAGTCAGACTCAGGACCCTGCTTTTGTAGACATTCTTTCTGGGGTTTATTGTGTTTTTTGGGTGGGACAAGAGGGTGAGTATCCAGGGTTCCATTCTCACTCTGAAAAGGAGGGCATCTTGCAATGGGACTTCCAATAGCAGTGTCCCAGTGAAGGGAGGGGACTGATGATCTTCCACCATATTCTGCACCAGTCTACGCCCAAAGCCGGCATCAGCTGAGGAGAAGGAATTAAGTTTGTAGTGTCTGACAAAGGTTGAGACTGAAGACCATGTTGCCACCTTGCATATTTCCTCCACTGATGCTTGATGATTGAAGACTATGGTTGTGGCTGCACTTCTCACTGAGTGGTCCGTGATCCCTGCTAGAACCAGAATGACCATTGCCTTGGAGGCATGGGAGATGCACTGTTGAATGCCATAGCTGATGGCCAATCTGGACAGTATCTTCCCTTATTTGAGGCTGTTAATGAAATGAAAGGAGAGTCCATCTTTCTGATGGGATTCTGTACACTGGTGGTAGATTCTGAGGGCTCTCTGCGGGTCTGAGAAGAGGGAAGAAGAGATTGGATTTATACCCCGCCCTTCACTACCTGTAGAAGTCTCAGAGCAGCTTACAATCCCTTTCCCTTCCCCTCCCCACAACAACCAGTGAGATAGGTGGGGCTGAGAGAGCTCCCTCAAGAACTGCCCTCTGAAAGAGCAGCTCTGCAAGAACTTCTGACTGATGCAAGGTCATACCAGCAGCTGCATGTGGAGAAGTGGGGAATCAAACCCAGTTCTCCCAGATTAGAAGTGCCACTCTCTCTCCTTGGGGTGGTCAGGATGCAGGCAGAAGGAAGGGAGGTGAATCTCCTGAGTCTTGTAAAAAATTGAGTTCACCTAGGTGATAAAGATGGGATTTGGCCTGAGCACCACCTTGTCATTGTGGAAGACACGTAGGCCTTTTCTGGCTGACAAGGCTCCCAGTTTCAACACCCTTCTAGCTGAAGTCACTGCCATGAGAAAGGAAGTTTTCACACGGAGCCATTTTAGGGGGAACATCCCTTAAGAACTTGAAGAGAGAATTAGTGAGAGTTGAAAAAACTATACACATTCTCCATGAAGGCGATCTGTGGAACACAGTAGGTTGATCTGTGTGACCCCTTGGAGAAAGCAGAAGATATGAGGATGTCTAGTCAAGAGATGCTAAGTACATAAGGTAGGATTGTGGCTATAGCTGATACCTTTCAATGAAGGGTGGACTTTTGTATTTTTTTAATAAACACACTCTGAAGGAGGGCTAACCAATGGCCCAAGCCAGGGTTGAGGGGGCTGACGTGCTTGCATTGGCATCACCTCAAGAAGGTTCTTTCCCATGTAGTACTATAGATACATCCTGTGGAGGCCTTCCTGAAAGCCATGACAGTCTTTGTGACCTCTGAGGAGTAGCCGAGGTTCAGGAGTCCATTTCTTTCAAGAGCCACATGGACAGATAGAGCCACTCTGGATCCAGGTGCCAAACTGGCCCCTGCTGCAATATGTCTGGGCTCACAGAAATCTCCCAGGGGGCCTGAACTGGGAGTTCCACCAAGGATGGAAACCATGGCCTGTGGGACCAATCTGGAGATACAAAGATCACTTCCATCTGCTCCTGATGTATCTTCCATAGAGCCGGGGATCACTGGGAGGGGCAAAGGGGCATATACTAGGCCCTTGGGCCATGGAGAGGTTAGAGCCTCCAGTCATTCTGACTGTGGGAAACAGGATCTGGAGAAAAGTCTCAGTATTTGATGACTGGATCTGTCTGCTCAGCAAGTCTGCCTGGATGTGTTCTTCTGAGATGGACTGTGGGTATTTTTCCACCCAGAACAGGGATAAGTTGGGCCTCTGCATGAAGGAGATTATCCCTCTGCTGCTTGATATGGGCATTGGCTGGGAAAAATGACCACTTGGCTGGAAAAAAATGAGTATGTGCCGGTCTGCCCAGAAGAAGATGAGCATTTTCCTGACAGCTCTGAGTTCCAAGGTGTTGATGTCCATTGTCTTTTCCTTTGACATTCTTCTGCCTTGGGCTGGACAGCCAAGTAGTGATGCTGCCCAACCGGAGAGAGTCATGGTCTGAAAGTTTGCAGGATGTTATCCAAGACACAGAATTGGGCCCATCTCAGTTGTAGGGGTTAGGCCATCAGATCATGTTCTGTCTCAGAGACCATATTAGGTTTGGGTTACAGTGCTCCTCTGCAGGACCTCTAACTGATAGAGCTGGAGGAACTACTGTGGTCTGGCAGGAAATCAGGCCCATGGAACTGTCCCTTTCCAGGTTATTAGGCCCTAGAAGCGTGCCTGGGGCATCAGCTGGGGAGTCTTGGCTTTGACCAGATTTTTCAGTCAAGCGCAAAATCCTGGACGCCTTGTCTGCTGAGGTGGGGAGGAGTTACAGCTAATGCTCCCTCTAAGCTGTGGAGACTTGTGAGCAAAAATTCTACTTTGTGAGCTACTGGTATTAAGGTTGTGAGTGAGCGATTTGGCTGCTGCATAAATTAGTTTGCTGTGGAGCCATCCTTCCTGAGCTGAGACAAAAATCTGCAAGCTGGAGGCTAAAAAACTGTGAGCTAGCTCACACTAACTCAGCTTAGAGGGAACACTGGTTACAGCCTATTCTAGTGTCTGCCTATGATCATGCCAAGATGTTCTAGCCCTTGCAACAGCATAAGACTGCTCTTTTCCTTGTTTAAAGCAAAACCATGGATTTCCCAGAGCTGAGGGTGCCCCTGATTGCCAGCTCCAGAATGGGAGAACAGATTAGGATGTTGTCAAATAAGTACGGATTTAGTTTCCTTGCTGGTCAACCAGGACCTCTAGAGCTACAAGGATGTTGGGTAAGACCCATGGAGCTGATGCTAGGCTGTTATGTCCGCTGACCGCCAACAGGTGCCAGCGAATACCCCCGAGCTTGACTCTATAGGAACAATCGGGACTAGGCTCCTAGTCTCTCCACTGGGGAACCAATAGGACCATGGCGGGAGATTTAAACCCACCAACGGGACCTAGGGGTGTGTCCCCAGGTGTGTATATAGTTGGCCAGCCGGCCAGTAGTCTTTAGTCTTTGTTGTGTACCAGTAAACCATGCTGATCACTACACCACTTTCAGTGGTTTCTACATGCGTCTAACCCACTACACTTCATAGGCCAAAGGGAAGAACTCTGCACTGGATGCAAACTGGAGGAACCTGCAATGTCCTTGAAGGATGGGAATATGTAAGCAGGCTTCCATGAGATAGGTGGGTGTCTGATGGACCACAGGGTCTCCATGCAGAAGTGACCTGTTCACATACTTCAGGTCAAGAATGGCTGTCCAGTCCCCATTTCCCTTGGGCACCAAGAAAAATATGGAGTAAACTCCTGAGCAATGCTCACAGGAGGGAACAGGCTCTACAGTTTGTACCTTTGGTAGGTGTCTTTTTTTGAGACAGAGAAAGAGAGATCTGGGAGACTGAAGTAGAATTTTTGCTCACAAGACTCCATAGCTTAAAGGAAGCACTGGCTGGCAATCTCCGCTTTTCTTCCATCTTGCCCCTTCGGCCTCCTCCTAACCTGCCCATGACACGGAAGAACAGTCCAGAGCAGGTTTTAGATTAAATTAGAGATGCCATCTGGAGACTGTATAATTAGGATTAATTGATTTGTTGATTTTAAATTGTATTTTGTATGTTTTAATCTGTTGTAAACCACCCAGAGTCCGGTGTACTCAGGGATGGGGCAATTCAGAAATTTAATCAATAATAAGTAATAATTTTAATGGTGTGTTTTTAAGCATTTTGTTTTGGGCTCCAGCTGTCTTCCTAGGCTGCTCTGGGCTAGACTCAGCAGGGGAGCTGTCTCATTTTCAGAGGTAAATTTGTCTCTTATGTTCCTCCAGAGCCTCCAAGGCTTGCCACTAGGCCATTCTCTTCCATATTCCTCCAAGAAAGGATGGGAAAGCAAAGAAAAAATTGGGATGTAAAAAGAAACAGCAGAGCCAAGAGGAGGTGTGAAAGAAAGTGTGAAGAGAAAAAAGGGACAGGCTGGAGAGTTAGGAAAATCTTCCTCAGGTATGAAATCGCTTCAGGAGAAAAGCAAGAGAAAAGCAAATAAAAAAGAGCAAAGTGCTCTGCTCCAAAGCTGCACTCCTTAACGAAGCAGGAAGCAAACTGAGCCAGGGCAACTCCCACCCATGAGGCAGGAAGTTGAAGAGTTTAGTCCTGTCTCCCTAAGCAATTGGTGGGAACCACTCATTCCAAGATGCCCTCCTCCTCAGAGAGAGAACAGAGGCTTTGCCCTAGGGTTGCCAGCCCCCAGGTCCAGGTGGGGTTTCAATTTGCCCCCAAAGCGACTACCTGTTTGGCCACTCCTCTCCTTCCCCTCCTGCCTGATTCAAAGGGCTTCAGCTGATCAGCAGAGACCACATGGCCCACTGATTGGCTGGTGGACCCTTTAAATCTAGCAGGAGGGAGAGGGGTGGTCGTGGGCTGCACGTTCAGCTCGTGTGGGGCTTGCAACCACACTTCTCCCTCCTGCTAGATTTAAAGGGCCCTCCCAACTGGTCGGCAGGCCATGTGGTCCCCACCAATCAGCTGAAGCCCTTTAAATCGGGCAGGAGGGGAGGGAGAGGGGTGGCTGGGCAAGTGGTCACTCTTGGAGCTGTCCCTACCTACCCCTGAAACGCTCCCCAAATCCCCCCACCTGAGCAACGAGGGGACCTGGCAACCCCACTTTGTCCCCATGTATTGCCAGAGCTTTTGAGCACAATTGTGACCACTTTCCATTCCCTTCACCTCTACATACTCATTCCCAAACTTTCTCTGGGCCACCTGATAACTTTTCTAGTGTGGCTGATTCAATCCACACAGTATCTCACAGTGACACAGTTGTGCAGCTGCTTCACTACACATCCAGTCCAACTTGAAGCTCACCACACATTTAACACACCCTGGCAATGCTTCTGTCTACTTAGTGCCAGCATGGTGAGTGGTTAAGGGCGGTGGACTCTAATCTGGAGAACTGGGCTTGATTCCCCACTCCTCCTCCACATGAAGCCTGCTGGGTGACCTTGGGCCAGTCACAGTTCTCTCAGAACTCTCTCAGCCCCACCTACCTCACAAGGTGCCTGTTGTGGGGAAGGGAAGGAGATTGTAAACCGCTCTAAGACTTCTTAGAGTAGAGAAAAGCAGAGTATAAAAACCCAGTCCCCTTAGTACATTTTTATCCTGCCTTCCTCCAAGGGGCTCAGGACTGGAGCCATAGAATCATACAGTTGGAAGAGGCCTCCAGGGTCATCTAGTCCAACCCCCTGCACGATGCAGGAAATTCACAAATACCTCCCTCTCCACACCCCCAGTGACTGCTGTTCCATGCCCAGAAGGTGACAAAAAACCTCCAGGGTCTCCAGCCAAACTGGCCTGGACAAAAATTGCTTCCTGTCCCCAAAGTGGTGATCAGCATGTCCCTGGGTATGTAAGAAAGGGCTACAAAAACTAAGCACTGAGGCAACCCTTCCTGCCCTCCCTCTCATGATCTACTTAAGTTCACAAAATCAGCATGGCTGTCAGATGGCCATCTAGCCTCTGTTTGAAAACCTCCAAAGAAGAAGAGCTAACCACCTCCCGAGGAAGCCT